CCTTCAAGCTCAAGCTCGAATAGTTTTGAATATTCTAGAAAAATTCTAGGATAATTATATTCTTCCGGTAAACGTTGCAAAAACAAAAGCAATGTTAGTTCATAACGTGGTAAAGATCTCAAAACCTGAAATTGAATATAAAGGAGTTCAGATCGAATATGTAACAAATTTCAAATGCTTAGGGGTCCATATTAGTACAAAATTAGGATGGGGAAAATTTTTATAAGATAGACTGCAAAAAGTGAGGAAATCATACAACGGCTTGAAAAAAGTATTTCATACAATTCCCCAAAACGAGATTAAGATAAGAAGACTTTTTCTAGCATTTTCCCTTCCTCAATTCATCTGGCTATTTTTTTGTTTTTTTTTTATTTTACTGAAAAACAAAAACAAAAAATTGAACATGTTTTTGGAACAGGTCTAAGGTTGGTGTATTCCCTTTGGGGGTATGACGATCTCACTACTCTTGCGTTAAGTCGCGAACTTTCTATGCGAGATTATTTATTTAAATATTGGATAAGGTTTCAAAATCATTTGGATACGGCCCCCGAAGCAGAAACTTACAGACAAACGTTAACTGCTTACTTCATCGTGAAATCTCCGTTTAAAACGTATTACAATAGTATGAATTTTAGGAAAAATAGTCGTTTCCCTAAAAGACTTGCTGAACGTGCAAAACATATATATCTGGATATAATATCTTTCATTGATTTTCATAGAGAACAATATGGATTTTTTAAAAAATCAAGCTTAACTTTAGAGTATTTTGTTTTGAAATATTTCTGTGTTAAACCACCGTAAATAAATATGAAAGTGAATAAGGACAAAGATCTAAAATCTGATCTTTATAAGTAGAATGATTTCTTTTCTTTTTTTTTTTTTAAACATATATCCTTGTAATGTGTGTATAGATACATGTTCTTGTCAAATGTTAACCTTTATGGAACAATAAACTGAATGTTAAAAAAAAAAAGAACATTTCAACCGATTATTTTCATTTGTTTTATCAACTCCAGAAAATCACAAGGCAGTATGACTATCCGTACTTTTTGATAGAAAATCATTTATTATAATACATTCATTTTGATTATCAATTAGTTGTTGTACTAAGGTCAGAGACATTGTTATGTCACGTGAAACATTTAGAGGTAGATCATATTGATTCTGACGTTTCATCGATGAGAATGTGCATACAAGCCAGTACGAAACAAGAAAATATTAACACCCACACTGTACGTACCTCCACTTGATTCTATATGTTCTCTAGCTCTTTGTGAAACGTACACCTCTTTTTTTATAGCCTTCGATAAATGCAGAATTTATTCATTGCATATTGTAGAAGATTCTAGAATGATGCTATGGGTTAAAAAAAATCCTGAAAAATCGAAATCATATAGAGAATGTTCTAGAAACCTGTCGTAGAACGAGAGTTTTATCTTTGACCTTTAATTCAGTGATAGACACGCATTCAAAAATTTCTATCTAAGTGAAACATCACTTTTTTTTAATACTCTATTTTTGATTTCGTTGGGTATTTAGTCTGTTTCTTGTATATATATAGTATTTGATCTTTTTAGATCCCAGACGATGTTGACTTCATCTTAGCCATCGGATATTCAACATTAACATTAAGTCAGAAATGAAAGTATTCAATTTCTTTCATCTTCTGCACACTTACTGGAGATAAAACGCTAAATAGAAAAGAGAATTGCAAGAAATTTCAAAATGTGTAATAGCATCATCAGCATGTGAATTATTTTACAAGTAAAGTGACGGATACAAAAAACGCATTATTATGTTTCAATATGATGGTTAGTTATACTAATTTACTCCATGAATAATAAATTCAACATGTGGATTTGTAACGGGGAACAGAAATGAGCGTTTTCTTTTACAACTGTTTAGATTTTTGCTCTGTACCAGCCTCCTTGGTTTCTTCTGAAACGTGTTTACTGACTGCATCAAGATTGTACTTGAATTCTGAACGGCGCGCATTGTCTTTAGCTAATTTAACTGCTTCCTCTAAATAAGTTTTGGCTCTTTCAGCATTTTCGTCTTGGAATTCGAGGAGACCATAACTGTTTAACACGGCAGCTTTTTCGTCATCAGATCCTCGTTCTTTTAGGGCTTTCTCGAAATTTTCTCTAGCCGATACATATTTTCGATCTCTCCAATCTGCAATACCCATATTATAATAAATGCATAGTCTACATGAGAGAATCTTGAAAGCGAACAGTGGTTGCGGTGGTATTGGCTCATCGTCAACTGATGCTGTCGCAGGCTTGACATATTTTTCTGCTTCTTTTAAATGTTGCCTCGCTATCTTATGTGCACCCTGATCATTGGAGAGTATAGCCTGATGCAGCAAGACAAGACCTTTCTTTTCATCGGTAAGATCTTTTTCCTCGAGCGTTCGTTGATAAAAATTACTTGCATTCACATGATCACCAAGCTCCTGCAGAATGTTGCCGATGGTCAGACAGTCACAGTTGAGTCTCGACTGTTCAATATAGGTGATCAATCGAGGATTGTAATTTGTGCAAGAATGAAGCTCAATATAACATAAATTCCGCATTTTTGTCACCGACTCTATTTTCCACACGAAACCCGTGAAAAACAGAACCTCGTCCTCGTCTGGGATTGCAGCATGACTTTTAACATCGGCATATGGTCTAATTAAACTAGTTGAATTACAACTGATATGCATCTCAAATATAACACTTTGATAACCATCTTGAGCTGATCCTATCCCAGCAAACATGCCGGCAACGCTATAGTTTTTGGTTGTTGAAACCAGTCCATTCAATGCGATAAGATGCCCTTCGCTATCTTTGAATTGTTGCACGATACATCTTGAGAGTCGCTTGCCTCGATAAACTATCCTGTTGCCATCATGTTGATTTGATCTTTGATCATTTCCTTTCTGTTCTAATTGCTTATGAAGGTCGGCCAGATAGCAGCCAAACAAATAGATGCATTCGATATTCTCCAACCGAAAAGCTTGATTGATGAGTCGAAAGAGACAGGAGCTCTTAGTGAAATAATTAATTGCCATCTCCGACTTGTATTCATCTGACAGTGTTTTAATCTTTTTTACTTCTACAGGATCATTCATGTACTTTAGGCGACAAATTTCCCATATATGTTTGAAATCATCTGGATCATATTGCTTTTTTACGAGTATTTCAATTAAAGATTGAAATAGAAGAAATCTGAGGGATTCATTATTCAAATCACGAAACGAAACTTGGGTAGAAATCGACTTGAAAGTGTCAAAAAGTGGCTCTTCATCTGTGACGTCTTCCTCATGCTGCATGTCTAACGCAGCATTTACTGATGACTGTTCAGATTTTCGAAGTTCGTGAACAATGTCATTCAGACCATTCTCGAGAATAGAATGCACAGATGCAAGATCTGGATGCGTTGACAACGCATGAGGTGCAAGTGGTAATCTAAACAACTTGGGTCGCAGTTGACGACGTCGTTTGACAATCTTTTCAATGGATGCTTCTTCTGTCTTATCCTTGATACTTATGATGATAGCCACATCTTTGATTACCAGATTACTGCAAAGATAATTCATTAAATCTACTTTTTTGTTGAAAATTTGCGAATAAGAAAAGTTCTGGTAAAGATGTGTCTTCACTTGATGTAAAACATCAACCGAAATTTTCATATCGTAATACCAGATGCTCATTAAATGTAAACCAGTTTCTAATTGTTCCTTTCGTCCCATTTCATCGCCAAATAATTTTATATGTTCTACAGAGGTTGTGTTTCAACGAAATAACCCAGAATATGTTTCACTTGGCAGATATTAATATATCTACAAATTGAAAATCAAAAATGACAATGAAGAAAAATGAAAACCAAAAAAGCTCTTCAAACACAAAGAAATCTCAGTCAATTAATTCAAACGTCATCTGTAGATAAAATCTTGTCGATCTTGTCTTGATAAAACTTGCGCAATGTTGCATTTGGTTCTATATTCTGTGCACGACGGTAATACTCAAGTGCTGTGTTTTTATTGCCTTGCAGATCACTGATTTCTGCTATTTTAATTAATATGTCAATGTTTTCGACGGCGGATGATTTAGAAGATGTAATACGAGGAGTAGACTGACAATCGTCTTCAACTTGTGTTGTCGAATTATTAATCGGCAATTCCGATGCTTTTTTAAAGAATTGCAATGCTTCTGTGCGATCATTCATTTCTAAATACATCAAGCCCATGTTGTTGTGGATAGATGAGAGACTTCGATCAGTAGATGGAAGTACAAGCAAAAGATATTCATAATAGTTTTTTGCAGCATCAAATCGTTTGAAAGCAGTCAAATAATTGCCGAATGTTAACCATGTCAGTTGACCTCCTGTCTCGAATCGAAGTTGATCAGTAATACTTTGCATGGCATCATCGGCTGACTCTAGTTGAGCATACCACACACCATCTGCTCCTGCTTCTGTAGAAACCAATCGAAATAGAGTACCAAGAGAAAAAACAACTGTATCTGAATCAAGGTTCACTATGGTGGCTTCATCGGACAATTTTAGCTCGAAAAGAACTACATTGAGCTGATTGTCGACTGCCCGACGACAAATATCAACGACAGATTGAAACGAACGTGAGGCTAAAACGAAAGTTTGAATGGCCAGTAGAGCATCTGAATTATCCTGTAACATTTTAAAGTCTGTCTTTGCTACTACTTGAGCTCGATAAACGGTATTAAAAGATGGATCGATATTTTTCGCTAAGGATACAATACGTTGATTGATATCTTTCAAAGTTTTTGTCGAATCTTGTAATGTAGAACTATTGAAATCTTTGAAAAGAATATTGATTTTTGTATTTGCTTCAATGAAGTCAGTAAGAAGACGATGGTCATTTTGAGTATTACTATCAGCAGATATCGTTGATGGGATTGGTAATTCCGATAGGATGCCACTAAATAATTGAAAGCATAAAAAGTCTGTTTGATGTTCGTTAAGCTTATTGAGAATATTCGAATCGAGGTTGAAAATATTCATATTCGGTAACCGGCATTGAATTTGACGATAAAAGCAAATGTCCGTGACGAGTTGATCAAGTAAATCTTCATTAAGAACAAATATACCACTCAATTTCGAATAATTAGACATTGTCTGTATTAATTCATTTGATTCGAGATCAGTCACAACATAGACTGCATGAACAGAATCAAATTCAATTACAGATCGAATATCTTGGTACTTGCTCATTGAAACAATTAGATAAATATGACTTGAACTGGTGTCTTTAATTGATCCAACACATTCTTGAATATCATCGAATTCCTTTATTTTAATTTTACTATGATATAGATGAAACGATTGACGTGGACTAAGAAATAATATGAAGATGAAAATTTTGTTTAAGTCATATTTGAGTATTGGCTCGATAGGAATTAATATATCCTTTTGATTTGTTTGAGAACATAGTTCAGATAATAACGATTTCGATCTTGACCAATGTGAAGGACGTTTCATAATAGAATCAATATCTTCTTTCATTGCATTCGTTAATAGATCAATGGAAGATCCCCTACCACGAATTTTTGAATACTTTTCCAACCAACTATTCGATTCTTCAGCATCAGAATCTTGATATACGTAAATTTTTTCAACACATATATGGCTGTGTATCAATGGAATGACGAAGTCGCCGAGTGTGATTGGTACGACGACATAAACTAATTTATCTTTAATCGATAATATTTTTGCAATACAGAGACATTCATCATTGAACGATTTCGTTTCGACGTTTGTATACTCATCCAATATATTTGATGGCAACGTTACTTCGAGAGTGACAATGAGAACATTGATGTTTCGTTGGAAAGTCTTCTTTTGTTGAAATACGTCTAGAGAATAAAAGTAGACATGGGTGTCTCACTACGATAACTTCCATTCCAGCTCATGTTTGGTCATATGCAGGACTTATAGTGTAAATAAAAATCCTAGAAGGATTGGTGCCATTGCTTCCCTATTTCACAGCTACAGAGATAACAAGTTTCTATAGAAATAACATTATTATCAGATGTGTAAAAATTTTTACAACACTTTCTTATGATACATATATTTTCACTCAGGCAACTCATAGCATTTCAATTTTCTTCTTAAAAGATGTGTCATCAAAAGCTCTACACAAGGCGCATGGATAGGGGGTGGGAAGTTCCCATTACGTTCCCGGCTAATGGTAAATTTTCCGTTTCCAGTTACCAGTTATCCAGGAACGTGGTAACGAACATGTAAGTGTCTCTCATCATAAAATCGGTACCCTTAGATACTGAAGCCCTACTATCGCGGGTTACCCTTTGGTCAACGATACTCGCATTACTGGCAATTGAACTTGACGGCATAGCGGTTCGGCGCAAAATTTGCATAGGTTGGGCTCGCGCTACCGCGCAACACCAGCAGTGGTTGGATCAAGGAAACCCACATTACTGGCAATTGAACCGGAGGGCACAATGGCTCGGCGCAATAATTCCATTGGTTTGGCCCATGCTACCGCGCAACAATTGCATTGGTTGGGCCCACGCTACCGCGCAACATTTGCACTGGTTGGGCCAAGTGTACCCCGCTATAGCAGCACCCGATGACTCAAGGGTATTTGTTAATACCAGCAGTTGAGGACGCAACGGTATTCCTAATAGTAGGACTTGCGGACATATGGGTATTCCCAATGGTTGTTCTTGAGTACTGAGGCTACGCGATTGATGACGCTAGTAAGTCGCGTGAACATTAGCTCCGTTTCCGAGGAACTGAGAACGGGCCGTTACCGCCCCCAGTTACCCGGTAGCTAGGAACGTTTCCGTTATCGTTATCGTTCCCAGGAACGATCTGGGAACAGTAACTTCCCACTTCTACATATGGGCAAATCTCTATGACACAGTAATAAATGTTACAATCATTTTCCTGCATTTCTTTCTACCATTCAATAAAAGAATATCTTTTTTTTTAGAAATTCAAACCTTTTCTTACAAACGGTAAAATTATATGTCATAGAAAAATAGATGTTTCGTACATAGAGAACTAAAAAGCTGTTCGAATTGATTTTTCTATTGTTCTTGATAGCGTTTTGGTACTTTTTTCAACTGAAACAGTACCTTTCCAGGAGTTTTCCCCTCCTGTTTGTCTGTCATCTATGATATTACTGAATGAATTAGACAGTACGAAAACATACAAATGATTATACCTTAAAATACAATCAATACAACGTTTTTCTTTACTGAAGCTCTTTACAGTCTTTCGTACTATTTATTTGTCTAAACCGATAATGAACAAAAAGCGCGAAATAATTTTTTAGAATTTCATTGGAGACTTGTTCATACATCTTTTGTAAAGCTTTAGACAACGCAAGTTTCAAGAAGAAAATTCAAGTGCTACCATCTTTCGCGAATCGAAATACATAAAAAACACCAAAGATTAGAGCAAGTAAATAGAAATTTCTTTTCTAAAGTTCTGTAGAACGCTCTATGATACATATTATGAAAAAATGATCAGTATTTTATCATTTTTCTAAGACGAGATATATACAACCTAAGAAAGCATTGCAATAATTTCGACACATCTTATAATAAGAGTTTCCTGCAGAAACGTGTTATCGGTGTTTCTGTAAATTACAGAAGCAATTACACGAATCCTTCTAGGATATTTATCAACACTTAAACTCTATCTATGACAAAAATATAAGCTCGAATGGAAGTTATCAGTCTCAATCACACAGTGTCTGGAAACACTGGCTTTTGAAAAGAAATATCAATAGTATATTCAGTCGGATTCAATGTCTATCTTCAAAATCTATGGTTCTCTACAAGTTGTCCTTTTGCAAAATTTGCAGCTGTCAGAGAATGACACACTTTATGAAATATCTTTATTGATAGCTTAAGACAATGCAATACTCTATGCATACTTGCATTGACAAAATTCCCATCGTCACATTCGAGGGTAAGACCAAGAAGATCATTGCAACAATTGGAAGGCGATTCCACTACAATTTGTTTCTTTGGAATTTGATACTAAGAAACAGAATTCGTTGAAGTATTTGCACATATTTCAACCGCACCGCTGATTTTACCTTAACGAGTTTCACATGCTCTGTTGAACGTATCTCTGGCGCTGGACTTATCTCGATTGACGTGACTAATAAAAAGAAACAGGCGTTAAAGCGAATTAAAAAAACTGAAGTATGTATATTAGTAGACTCACTTGGTGTTTTTGACTGAATCAATGTACCATAAGGGTCCGACTCTGTGTTTTCAGATGCAGACCTATAGAGAAAAAACGTCATATGTAATGACCACAACTGTTTGAAGATTTTCTTGGGAATTCTGTTTGGTTGTGGAAACTTAGGTATTGAATTCTTTAGATAAGGACTCAAAGTTCAGGATTTCAATAAGAAATTGTTTTTAATATCAAGCAAACAATATTATTTTCGTAAATGGACACCGGTTTAATGTTTGAGGTGGAAATACTATATACGGAAGTGAATTTGTGATTATGTTGGGTCAGGGCGGGATATAGACAGAAACAAGATTTGCTATACAGAGGTGTATCTTCGAGAATGTGATTTTATGAATTATTTTGGGTCAGTTTTTATTCTTAGGCGTTTAGGTACAGTTTGGAAGTTAATGAGAGATACAATTTTCGATTTGAGTTTAGAGAGGTTTTAGTCAGAGGAATGATTAATTGGGTTGCTATGGATTGTTTATAAATTTTTCTGAGATCTCCTGCAGGATTTTCAGAGAAAGTGGGGAAAGTAGCAGGAAAATGAACTTTAGGGAAGTAGTAAACTCTAGATCGTTTAATATCTTAAATTTTAAGCAAAACAGAGAGTGATAGAATATTCTTTGGATTTTGACGGATAATTTTGATTGCAAGCAGATATTCGTTCATCCAGATTGTTATGATCATGCACAAGCATGCCATGTAAAATCAAAGAAAGTTGCCGATTAATCTGTTAAGTAGCGAAATAATACGATTATGATTTTCATCAATGGCCATGGATTGAACTTTGATTTCTACTGTGGCATCAACTACATTTCTGCTTAGGCTGGTATTGTTCTTCACAACTCGATGGATTCGAAGAAAGCCAATGCAACTTTCTGTGTGATTGACGAACTAATCAATGACTAAAGCCATATAACAATATTAAGAACAAGGATCATTATGGAGGAATCTCACGGAGTTCAATTGGGTATCAGTCTCTGCCAAAGGTAAAAAAATGAAAGCAGAGATCGATTTGAATTATGAATTGTGGAAAAAAGCTGAGTTTAAGGAGTAGGCATTTTTTAAAAAGTCTGCAGGACAGGTTTCAGACTAAGTTCAAGTTTTAGGCTTGGTTCACACAGAACAAGGAACCATAATGATCCCCGAGTCAGAATATTGAAATTGTTGGTTTTGCTATTTATGTCAACACAACAGTGATGCAAACCGCTTAATCAGTCATTATTGCGATAGGCACGATGAATCATTGGCAAATATTCCGGTAGATTTTGATGGACAACCATTTTCTTGAATGATTGATGATCAGCAGTGCGAATAAATAAAAACTAAATCTATAAAATGCAAATTGAAGATCCTGAAATACAGAAGTAGATGATTCAATTTTTAAACTTGTCTGTCCGGAAACTTAATCATTTCAATTTCTAATCTATGTTTCTTGACTCTTTTAGCAGCAACCGGGACTTATTTTTGTCAAGACTCACTGGATTTTTTCAATAAGTTCGTAAGCATTTTAGAAGAAATCTCACACCGTTACACAATGCAAACACAGTGTAGATGTAAGGGTGCAAATGGATTTGCTGAAATATCATACCAAACAATAAATCCCGAAAAAGATTCCTACTAGCCCCATTCTCCAATCTTTGACAACACTAGTATTGCTTGTTCCAGCATGAATATTTACTAAAAAGTCTTGCACTGCCAGATATTTCACACTTAGCAGAGTACCTAGAATTGTAACGTCTATAGCTCTGGAATATTTCACACCCTATATTGACGTACTTTGATTTTCCGCATTAATCTCCATTAAGTATGAGCAAATGTAGCAAAAAAAATATTAGGAATCTATCAATAAACTGCCAGCGTACTTCATATTAACTGCAAACATGTGCATTTTATAGTCAATACCACCTTGTCTTGCCATGGCGAGAGAAAGAAAAACAAGTCTTTGTTTTTCAACCTTTTGCCCATGCCAATGAAAAAAATTTACTACTTACTAATCTTGAAAATCATCATGTTTTTGATTTTAGTACTCTATCTTCAATATAGACATTGTATTATTCAGCATATATACCTTACAAATAATAGTAGAAATTCTTTGCTTATTTAAAAATCAATGTAGTTGTACATGCATGTTTTTTTGTGGCATAAATCTCCTATATTTTAATTTTATAATGCGTAAAAAGAGAGTGTCGACAGTCTCTATAAAACTCTATGCCAATTCGTAATCATACCTATTATCTCCAAAAGCCAGGCAAAGTAATGTTGATGAAAATAGTTGTTGCCTT